GCCCGGCTGATTTTTTGATTTATTGTAGAGATGAGGTCTCGCTGCCCAGGCGGGTCTCGTTTCAGTTCTTTTCATTCTTCTCATATAACTCTTTGAAGACACAGCACTTTAAAATTATAATTGCTTGAGAAGAGCTTTCAGAAAAAGTATCAGAACAAAACAATTGACTGTGGACAGCAAGATGTAAAATGGCACAGATCTGAATTACACAATTGACAAGGAAATTCGGTTACTTATGTGGCACACAACAATATGAAATAGGGTTGGGCTTGATGATTTATGCCTATAATCCCAACACTTTGGGAAGCTGAGGCAAAAGGATTGTTGGAGCCCAGGAGTTTGAAACCAGCCTGGGCAACATAATGAAACATTGTCTCTACAAAAATAATAAAAATTAGCTGGGTGTGATGATATGCACCTATAGTCCCAGCTACTTGGGAGGCTCAGACAAGATTGCCTGAGCCCAGGAGGTCAAGGCTGCCGTGAGCCATGGTCGTTGTGATCATAGGCAAACAGAATGAGACCCCTCCAACTTGAAACAAACAAACAAACCAAACAACAATTTAAAATAACCAAAATTATGACTGATAGCATTTATACCAAGACATATCACACATCTAGGAACTTTATACAATTTTGGAACCATATTAATAATACATATATTAATTAACATCACTAAACATCATTCCTTATTTTAACAACACTTCCCATATAATTTAACATCATTCCTTATTTTAACAACACTTCTCATATAATTTAACATATCAGATAAGCCCAATTGGCTTACTATTTCTCTTTTACAGATTCTTTGGGAAGTTTCAGGGCCCTCTGAAACATAACAGAATTAGTTGAAGGTTGAAAAAATTAATTCTGATTTTTGAGAAGTTTGTCAAACATCAAAGGTTTAAATCACTTGAATAGGGTCACAGATCACTAAGAAGTAAAACCAAAGTGACAAAAGATTTCAAAGGTACAAAGCACAAAAAATTATCTTGATGAGACACAAAATCTCTGCTTTCTAGGCCAGTTACCTTAAAGGTAAAAACAAAACAAAACAAAAACCTCTCACAAGTTTCTATTAAGAACAGATCAGCTGGGCTCAGTGGCTCAGCCTGTAATCCCAGCGCTTTGGGAGACCGAGGTGAGTGGATTGCCTGAGCCCGTGGGTTCGAGACCCGCCCGGGCAACTTGGCAAGACCTCATCTCTACAATAAATCAAAAATTAGCTGGGCATGGTAGTGCGTGCCTGTAATTCCGGCTACTCGGAAGGCTGAGGCGGAAGGATCACTGGAGCCCAGTGGGTTGAGGCTGTGGTGGCCGGGAGCATGCCACTGCACTCCAGTCTGCGCGATGGAGTGAGACTCCAACTAAAAAAAAAAAAAAGAGCAGATCAGTGCTTTGAGAAAACACTGTTGTTCCAACACAAGGGCCCACACTCTAGTCTTTCTTCAGAGTACTTTTGATGATCAAAATTGATGCTCAATTTTAGAAAATATTATGAATAATTCTCTTCAAATTTTAGTCAACTTGTGAACACATGAAATTTCTTTCATGAAATTTATCTTCCATAAACCTTCTACAACTTGCTTAAAACTTCAGTTTTGCCCTATACTTCTTTTTTTGTAAATTGGCATTCTACATTATATTTATTTCCTTTTTCCTCTCATCATTTTGACCATGCAAAGGTTTCTCTCAGGGAAAAGAAAGTTACTCTCTCTTTTCACCTTCCTTCCTCCCTCCCTCCTTTCCTTCCTCTCTCCCTCTCTTCCTTCTTTCCTTATTTTTTCCTTTCTTTCTTTTTTTGAGTCAGGGTCTCACTCTGTCACCCAGGCTGGAGTGTAGTGTCATGATCATGGCTCACTGCAGCCTTGACCTTCTGAGCTCAGGTGATCCAATGGCCTCGGCCTCCTGAGTAGCTGGGACTATAGGTGTGAACCACCATACTTGGCTAATTTTAAAATTTTTCATAGAGATGAAGTCTTGCTATATTGCCCAGGCCTCCCCAAAGTGCTGGGATTACTAAGGGCATGAACCACCATCCTGGAGTCAATTTTCTTTACCTAAAATACATCCTCCTAACTTTTTTTTCCACATTTCTCCTATTTACTGATTTCTTCCTGCATTGTTTCTATTTCCCTCTTAAATCTATATTTTGAAATAACCTTTGGATAACCTCCAACACAGGTGAAATTACTCTTTTTAAACTAAAAATATATCCTCATTTTAATAATAATTTTTCTCACCAAAACACATTTTACTTTCCTTGTAATCACATATATTAATTTAGAATTTTAAACTCTCAGTAACCTTAATTTTTTTTGAAAACCTAGGAAGTAAGCAGTTTGGATGGTTTGTCACATACCAACATTTTATGAATATCCATTTCACAATTCCTAGAAACATGTACTTCCACAAGGATTACTTTTTTAATGTTTACTAACAGACCCAAATATATATAGCTTCTCTATACCATACTAAAACAATTGACAGCCAGGCATGGTGACTCATGCCTATAATACCAGCACTTTGGGAGGCCAAGGTAGGAGAATTGCTTGAAGCCAGGAATTTGAGACCAGCCTGGGCACCATAGTGAGATCCCATCTCTACAAAAATAAATTAGCCAGGCATGGTAGTCCATGCCTGGGGTCCTAGCTACTAAAGAGGCTGAGGCAGGAGATCACTTGAGCCCAGAAGGTTGAGACTGCGGTGAGCTATGATTGTCCCATTGCACTCAGCCTAAGTAACAGAGTGAGACTATCTCAAAACAAACAGACAAAAACCATGATGCCATTGTAGGTCATGCAGGGCTTGTTGGGTATTATATTCTGCCTTGTACTCATTTGGAGCTTCTTCAGTTCCCATTAACATGTATGCTAATTGGTAGAGATCAGGTTTCTGGGTCATTAGTTCCAACTTAAGACCCTGAGTTTTTCAGAAAACTTTTGAAGTTCTTCCCTAGTTTTAGGAAAAAAAATGTTTTTGTTTTTGAGTTGGAGTCTCACTCCATCGCTCAGGCTGGAGTGCAGTGGCACACTCACCGCCACCCCAGCACTGACCCGCTGGGTTCTGGCTATCCTTCTGCCTCAGCCTTCCAAGTTGCTGGACCTACAAGTGCACGCTACCACGCCTGGCTAATTTTTTTATTTATTGTAGAGAGGAGATCTCTCCAAGTTGCCTGGGCTGGTCTTCAACCTGTGGGCTCAGGCAATCCACTTGCCTCGGCCTCCCAAAGTTCTGGGATTACAGGCTGAGCCACCAAGCCCATCCCCGGAAAATTTGTAACCATGTCCAGGGACAGCAAGTCACTAAGGGATTGTTTACTGAATTTTGGGGTGTGTTCTATCTTATAAGGAAACTGTTTAACTAGTTTTGTAGAGAAGAAGGCAACTTAAAGAGAGAGTTAATAAATTATGAATATTCAGGCAAAGTAGGATGGAAGCGACCAGTTGGGATGATGATGTCAGTTTTGCCATCCTTGGTACAGGGGACATCTTACATTTCTAGTTTTTCATTAGCTCTTCACCATGAATCTTTTTAAAAGGCTATTTTATTTTACTTTACTTTATTTTTTAGAGATAGGGTCTTGCTATGTTGCCCAGGTTGGAGTGTGGTAGCTATTCATTCACAGATGTGATCATAGTGCACTGTGGCCTTGAACTCCTGGGCTCTGCCTCCTGAGTAGCTGAAACTATAGGCACATGCCACCACATCCACTAAAAAGGCTATTTTAGAATTCTATTGTTGCTTTGAGGCTTCTGAATGCCAATACAAATCCCCTTCTCTCTGCCTAATTCAGAAGGCTAGGGATTCAGGTGTACTTTCTAGATAAATGGTCTTATTTATCCAGAATGTTCCCACGATGGCAGAATTCCACAGATAATTTACAAATTTAGAATTTGTAATTCTAAATTATCTTTAGTAAGATTTTTGCCACTTTTGTAAATATTTGTAGTTTCCAAAGTCAGAATCTTGCACAGGAAGAAGGCAGGTCCACTGCAAGGTAAGGTACTCAGACCTTTGGGAATTAGAAACCCATTTTTATGTTGGATCTTGAATCTCTCAGAGCCAAGATGGCTTTGGCTTCGAGATCTCCTTGACTGACTTAGCTAATGATTTACCAGTTTCTGTCTTACCCAGTCAGGTGCCCAAGTCCTCAAGAAAAAAGCACCCAACTAAAAAAGAACGCATATACTGCAAATTCTGAAAGCCAACCCTTGTGGCAACAATCACTTACTGCAACTACTGTCAGTTATCTTTAAAACTGCTGCCTTTCTCCAGTCACTCAGGCATCACAAACCCAGAGGTCCTGTGTCCTGCCATGGCACAGACTGACCCTTAGCACCTCAGGTCAAATACTTTCTCACAGGGCACACTAAACCTTGGTATCCCGGAAGCCAGAGACTAGAGAGCTCAAATGCAAAGAGCAGAGCTCAGGCCTGGGAGAGACTTAAATTCTCAAGGATCCATGAAGAAGACAGAGTAGCTCCCCCAAAAGAGGGCTAGCGGGGCCTCTGCCTGTGTTCCTCAAGGAGTCTCAAGGTCATGAGTGCCTCCCTCAGGTCCCTTTGTGTTAACCAGGTCTGTCAAAGAACAAAGTTACAACAGATTTTAACATCTCAATTAACTTTATTTGCAATTCTAGAATCTGGACACACTTCATTCCATAAAATAGAATGTGCCTCCTCTTTTTTAGAACTATTTGTTATTGTAGTGTCACCACAAGCAAACACTCTGTACACATTAAGCAATAGCTCTGAGAAATTTTTTTTTTTTTTTTGAGGCAGGGTCTCACTCTGTCCCCAGACTGGAATGCAGTGGCACAATCGTGGCTCACTGTTAGCCTCGATCTCCTGGGCTCAGGTGATCCTTCCACCTCCACCTCCTTAGTAGCTAGGAACCCAGGCATGCACTACCATACCCGGCTAATTTTTTTACTTTTTTGTGGAGATGAAGTCTTGCTGTGTTACCTAGGTTGATCTTGAACTCCTAGGCTCAAGTGAGCCTCCCTTGTTGGCCTCCCAAAGTGCTGGGATTACAGGCATGAGCCACCTGCCATGAGAACGTTTGGGAACCTAGAAAGATATTACTTACAGTTTGTGCCACAGACCTGACAGTGGTGCAAGATCAATGGGGGGCTTATTATGAGGAGAGCAGTGTGAAATTGACCTAAATCCCTTAGAACAAGAGAATTCTCAAGGGTGTGAGTCTCTGTGTCTATGTACAAATGTATGTGTGTAGGAAAGCTCTAGTGCTTAAACTGAGTTCTCTAGAAGCAGAACCTGAGATGGGGATTCTTGCACATGTGATTCATTGAGAGAGTATGCCCAAAGAACTTTATGAAGCAGTGAGGGGAGCACAATAGGGTGGGGGAGAAGCTGGTCAGAGTTGTGGTTTCAGAAGTCCAGCTTAGATTCCTGCTTTCACAGGGAGCACCACAGCAAGAAGTGCACCAGAGAGATATGCCTCCTTGATACAAGAGGACTGCCTGTTTTTACCCCCATAGATAATGGCTGCAGGCTACCCATGCAGTGGGGGTAGCCTCCCAGGCCTCTTCAGCTCCCATTAGACAAGGGAGTTCTCCAGAGAAGGGCACAGCTGTGTGCCATTAGTGGCGAGGCTCCCAGCAGCTGGAGGATGGGTACATTGGCCTAGCAAAAGGGACATGGTCGGGCACCCATGGTGACTACAGCCAATTAAGGGATAATCATTCTCTGTGCTACTGGAAAATAATTCAGTCAGTTCAGAGCAGTGTCTCACTTTGGAAATGAGGAGAAAAAAATGAAAAGGAAGGAGATACAAGAACTTAGTATAGGTTGATGTTATAAAACTGTCTTTTGCTAGAGACTAACTAAATATTATCTCTTTCTTTTGAAGATCATGTGATAGAAAAGCTGGAGCAATGTGGTTTCTTTGATGATAACATTAGGAAGGACACATTCTTTTTGACTGTCCATGATGCTATACTCTATCTACAGAACCAAGTGAAATCCCAAGAGGGTCAAGAATCCATTTTAGAAACGGTAAATATTTAACCTTTCTACATATATTTCTTTGCTAAACTGTCATGATTTTGGTAACTGGCAGAAGTTACACAAATCTAGCCTAGCTGTTGCATGTTAGGCCACCTGCGTAACTTTTTGGAACCTCTCAGTTTTTTTTATCAGGAAAGGAAGTACAAAATTTGCTTTCCTGGGTAGATGTGAGGACTAAATAAGATAGTTTATGGGAAAGTACCTGGTAGTAGCAAGCATATAACAGTTCTACAATGTGTGGGTTTACTATAACTGGGCATTACTATAATGCCTTTTTTGAATATAGTGCTGAATCTTGGATCTTGTGTGATTTGTGTATGTAAATTCTCAGCAATCTGGAAACCCTTGCATCACAAATGTCTTGAAATAGGATCCATCAGCCATAAGTAATCTTAGCAGAAAAAAAAAAAAAAAACGCAAATAAGTTCAGGGTTAAATTTTTCCCCCAAAATAGAATAGACCCTGATTTTCTACATGTCTTATTTTGTCAATTTTTCTATCAAATACCCAGAAGGGGTGAACATTCTGGTATGGCTCCTTGGGCTTGACCTACAGATGGGCCTGATTCAAGAACCTCCTTCCTTCCTTCCTTCCTCCCTCCCTCCCTCCCTTCCTCCCTCCCTTTCTCCCTCTCTTTCTTTCTTTCTTTCTTTCTTTCTTCCCTTCTTTCTTTTCTTCCTTTCTTTTTATAATTTTATTATAGAGTTGTGGGGTACAAGTCAGGATTAGGAACATAAGTAATCTATAAGCAGGTGAAGTTTGGGCCTCCAACTGGTCCTCATTTCCCCTGGTTTAGGACCAGGTACCCTTTGTGTGCTACCTGCCCCTTCTCCCTCTCCTGGCAGTGTCCCGTAACTGCCTATCCCTCCCTTGTGCTATTGTGATTAATAAGAACCTTTTTTCTTATGGACCCCTTCACAGTGAATGTGGGAAACTAAGACAAACACCTTAGTTTCCAAATATAATAACAATCATGATTCCAGTGACATAATGGATTATATTTTAAATTGCTTCCTTTTTTTCTAAAATTAGAATACGTAGTTCCTTATTATAGATTGGCAGGTGATGTTGGAAGTAAAACTAATTAAGAAAACAATATTACATTATTCTTTTCAGCTACTGTTAGGAGAGAGATTGTTCTATTTATGCTCCTGAGTAAAATACTAGTCCTAACTACCAAGGTGTGGCTCTTAAGTACTAAAAAAGGAAAAAGTAGCACAACCACAAATCTTAAAAAATAAAAAAGGTACATATAAGCTGCTCATCTTTGAAAACTAAGTCTTTTTCTATCTCATTTAAAATTCTCTAGCCCATAGGTAACAGCAACAAAATAGGATCATATAAAGTATCTAAAAGAAAACCCACATTGAAAATAAAACAGAACCAAGGTATCGAGTTCTTTGTCAACATGAAAATAGTTGTTATTTGTTTATACTCATTCTTATCTAAGATCTTAGGCCACGAATGTCACAAAAATCACTAACCAAGAGTACACCTACCAGGTTAGACTCAATGTGGTTTGCAATCAGGGAGGTACTATGAATGGCAGGGACAGATTTTTTTGTTTTACCCTGAACAAACGTTAGACTGAGTATAACAGAATGCTTGTATTACACACTTACTGTGTCATAAGATAGTGGCTTGAGCATTCCTGGTGGCCTGTGATATTGGGAGGCTTATACTTCTGTGTCTCCTCAGGGTCTAGCACAAAGTCCTATAGGTGACAGATGTATGGTGAAGGATGATGTACTCCACCTGCGGTACTTTCCTTCAGGAAGAGTCACTGTGTATCATGGATATTGCAGCTACAGTGACATGACCCTTTCCCTATCCCTTTATTTTACCATCATAGAACTATCCCAGGAAAGCCCCAACTTGTAGTTGTACCCAGCCTCTACCTTTCCCATTATGTCATGACCATTTGTACAGGGACTTAATTCTCTAATTCATTTCCACATGAGCAAGGATAATTGGTGTGTGTGTGTTGAAAAGTAGCTAAGTAACTCTTCAAAACATCATTTTAGCCTGCTTATATATTTGGAGTTGCTTTAGAAACATTCTTCTTCATGCAAAAGACAAAGCCCAAGTTGTTGTTGGTTTTCTCTGTATAGAATATTAAATTATATACTACTCCCTAAAAAGCACTGGGCCAGGTGCGGTGGTTCACAACTATAATCTCAGAACTTCAGAAGGCCATGATCACTTGAGGCCTGGAGTTTGAGACCATCCTGGGTAAGATAGCAAAACCTTATCTCTACAAAAGTAGTTTTAAAAAGTTAGCCAGGGGTGGTGACACTCACCTGTAGTCTTAGCTACTTGGAAAGGCTGAGATGGAATAATTGCTTGAGCACAGGAGTTTGAGGCTGCAGTGAGCTATGATTGTACCACTGCTGTACTCTAACCTGGGGGACAGAGCCAGACCTGTCTCTAAATAAAATTTTTTTTTAAAAAGTAGAACTTATCTGAACAACCAACTTGGTCCATAGATGTTGGTTTCCATCCCCGATAAAATGAATTTCCATTCACTTCAATTTGGGACTTCTATTGTCATCAGTTACAAGCTGGACTTCTATTGTCATCAGTTACAAGCTCTTCATCGTGTATTCACTGCATGTTCAACATGATATTAAGTGCTCTTAGCTCAGCCACTGAAAACGAAGCACTATTGACTGCTGAATCCTTTAGGCAGAGGGGGTGACTTGTTAAGAGGCGTATGCGTCAGAGGCTGGTTAAGTGAACTGAGAAGAAGTTTAGATAATAGAGAACTCTATCGGTTTCACATCTGAATGTAAGAAAATGATATAGGGAAAATCCTAAGGTGGGAAATATAAAAGAATGAGACAGCTGAAGAGGATTCAGAAGCATATAAAGCATAGATGAGAAACACCAGCAAGGTTCAAATCATTTTCAGTGGAATATCAGGTGGGTTGATGCTATTATATTTCTACTCTTTTTCAAGATCACCCTCATTCAAGACTGCAAAGATCCTCTTGAATTAATAGAAGCAGAGAGGATTGAAGAAGAGCTTGATGTTCAAGATGAGGTATGATCATTTTCTTCTGAAGAAAGCAATTTGGATTAAATCTTGAATAAATAGAGTAATACAAATAACTTTTAAAAGATTAAGAACTGACAAGGACAATTAAAAAAAAAAACAAACCCAAAAGGTGAGTGGGTGCAGTAGTTCATGCCAGTAATCCAAGCACTCTGGAAGGCCGAGCAGGAGGACCACTTGAGCCCAGGAGTTTGAGGCCAACCTGGGCAACACAGTGAGACCTCATCTTTACAAAAATAAATAAATAAATGCAAACTTTTAAAAATACCAAAAGGATGGCTTCATAGAAAGGGAAAATGGAAAATAAGAATTCTCCCTTGAAGACATTAAGTATCCAAAGACATTTTACTAGGCATATAGAGAGATGATCAATGATAGACAGCAGCCAACACCGGTCCTGATTTGATATCTAAGCCTCTGCATACTGCTCTTTCAGAGAACTAAGGCATAGGACAGAGGAAAGATGAATAGGGGACATTTCTAAGCCAGTACTTTCACATGCTTCAGGAACAGCATGTGAGGAACAGAAACGGTATGACCTTTCTTCATCTGATTGATAATAGCTTTAAAAAGATACTCCCTCCACCGGAGACTGCCTCTATGTATTTCAGATACTCTCAGGCCATCAGACTATTCCTAGATAACTTGACTGAGCTTGTATCTGAGTAAGGTCTGTGGCTCTACCACTGAGCAAATGTGAACATCAAAGGAAGGCCATAGCATTTTAAATTATAAAGATTTCTTAGAATTCGGGGAGTCCAGTTGGGTGTAGTGGCTCACGCTTCTAATCCCAGCACTTTGGGAGGCTGAGGCAGGAGAATCTCTCTCTTTTTTTTTTTTGAGTTGGAGTCTCACTCTGTTGCCCAGACTGGAGTACAGTGCCCGCTCCCGGCCACTGCAGCCTCGACCTGCTGGGCTCCAGCGATCCTTCCACCTCAGCATTCCGAGTAGCCGGAATTACATGCACATGCTACCACATCCGGCTGATTTTTTGATTTATCATAGAGATGAGGTCTCGCCAACTTGCCCAGGCGGGTCTCGAACCTGCGGGCTCAGGGAATCCACTCACCTCAGCTTCCCAAGGCGCGGGATTACAGGCTGAGCCACTGAGCCCGGCTGTAGGAGGATCTCTGGAGCCCAAAAGTTCAAGACCACCCTGGGCAATATAGTGAGATTTCATCTCTACAAAAAATAATTTTTAAAAAATTAGCCAGGTATGGTGGCACACACCTGTAGTCTCAGCTACTTAGGAGGCTGAGGTGGAAAGGTCACCTGAGCCAAGAAGCTTGAGGTTGTAGTGAACCAGAATCATGCCACAGTACTCCAGCCTGGGTGACAAAGTGAGACCCTGCATCAAAAAAAGAAAAAAAAATCTGTTAGTCCAAGATCCTAGCACCTGCAGAAATCCCTCCTACACCATCACTGATGGATGTTCACTCAGCTGTTATATGAACATTTCTAGACACTGGTAACTAGAGACTTCTCAAGGGAGTTGTAACAAGGTTGGAAGTCTTTGTTAGTTGTGTTTACAAAACTGAATTGGCCTCTCTGCAATAACCACCTGGTGAGCTGAGGTCTGTCTTCCTTAGAAACCCAAACCTTCCCACCGAACAGCCCTTCAAATATCTGAGAGTAGCTTTCATGTCTCCACCAGACTCTCCTCCAGAGACTCCTCTAATTCCTTCTACTGTTCCTCACAGACATACAGTTTGTCAGTGCTTCTTGGGCCAAGATAGGGACACAATGTGGTCAGGCCAGCATGGAGATTATGGAACCATGGCCTTCTTTGATCTTGTCAAGATATTTCCATTACTGCCACTTAAAAGTACATTTAGTTTCATAATAACTACATAAAAATCTTGGTGTTTATTGAGCAGGGGTTGATTAAAGACTCAGGCTTTTGCACACAGACTATAGTGTAGCAGGGGTCTCCACTTATATGTATTTAATTGACTTTTGACCCCAATGCAGAACTACACATATTTCTGCCAGATGGTGTCCTATTGGTTCCAGTTTGTTGACATAGTTTTACATTCTAAATGTGTCATTCAGGCTGGGCTTGGTGGCTCAGCCTGTAATCCCAGCACTTTGGGAGGCCAAGGCGAGTGGATTGCCTGAGCCTGCGGGTTTGAGACCAGCCCGGGCAACTTGGCAAGACCTCATCTCTACAATAAATCAAAAGTTAGCCGGGCGTGGTAGCATGCACCTGTAGTTCGGGCTATTTGGAAGGCTGAGGTGGAAAGATTGCCTAAGCCCAGCAGGACGACGCTGGGGTGTCCATGAGTGTGCCACTGCACTCTAGAGTGCGACTCCGACTCAAAAAAAAAATTATCATCCAGCATATTGACTCTCTCCCTGCTCCACCCATTGGTGTCGCATGCCAATCTAATAAGTATGCCTTCTCTGCCTTTTTTCATGTTCTGATAAATATGTTGAAAATAAAAAACATCCAACCCCCATGATAAGATCAGGCAGTAGGGACAACAGGCAAAGATTTTTGTGGAAGAAATCATAGACCCTGCATCTTAGCCCATCAGCTCAGTGAGCCCAGGAAAATCATGATTGAGCTAAGTCCTTTCACCTTCAGTAGTTTATGACTGCTGATATAGGGCAGCCTTAGATTAAGCAAAAACTAATATATCAAAATGAGAACTTAAGCCAGGCACAGTGGCTCATGCCTATAATCCCAGCACTTTGGGAGGCAGAGGTGAGAGGACTGCCTAAGCCCAGGGGTTTAAAACTAGCCTGAGCAACTTGGCGAGACCTTGTCTCTAACAAAAATTCAAGAAGTTAGCTGTGGTGGTGTGTGCTTGTGGTTCCAGCAACTTGTAAGGCTGAGGCAGAAGGATTGCCTGATCCCGGCAGGTCAAGGCTATGGTAGTCGTGAGCATGCCACTGCACTCCAGCCTGGACGACAAAAAAAAAAAAAAAGCAACTTATGAAAAAAAAAGTAACTTATGAAGCTACTACATTATAGATTATTAATTGATTGCCATATAAAATAATAATTCCAGTAGGAATTCTATAGATGGTAAAACAATATAGCACTATGGTTTCAAGGATATTGATTTTACAGCCAGACAGACCTGTATGCTAGTCCTGATTCTGCTACTTAGTGGCTATGCAACCCAGGGACAATTACTCTGTGTTCATTTTAGTGTCTTCATGTAAAATAGAAGCAATAACACCATAGAGTTTTGAAAAATTAAAGGGTGCATGTAAAATAAAAAGAACAGTGCCTTGCACATAGCAAGTGCTCAATAAATAGTAATCATTGCTTTTAAATAAATCCAATAAAAGTATGATAAGTCATAAAATTAAGTTTCTACCCTACTTCTATTGTGGTGATATACATCTAAGATGAACAAAAGTAAGCAACCGATACTATAAAAACATATTTGTAAAAAAGATAACATAGACTTAAGGAGGATTCAGTTGCATGAATACTTTGTCTCCCCCTTATTTCCACAGGCTATGCGCAGACTTGCTTCCTGAAAGCAGGCTCAGGAGGGGCCCCTTTGAGCACAGACTGCAAGACAAAATTTATCCAATCACATCATTCTATGCAAACATTTTCTGCATTGACTATTTCTTTGGACTTGAAACACCCATTCTTTTTCTAGTATATATATTTTTTAAATCTTCTATTCTTTTAACCTCTTGACCATTAAAAGAGAAGCACTAAGATTTGTTTCTAGGCTTTATTTATAAAATGAATAGCTTACCTTTTAAATGTGCAAAGTGGTGAGGAGAATTGTTCGGGTGATCTGGTAGTGTCCGGGATCTGCTGATGTTACAATATGGTGCTGATGCTCCATGATAGACTTGTTAACAATGTCCACGTGGGTGCTAGCGCCTCTGTTCAGTTGGTGTGAGTGTTGACCCTGTGGTCAGGTGAGTCAGGAATGACTAATATAAAGAAAAATGAGTTTTTAACTGACCTTAAAATCCATGAGCTGTACTGATCACAGTGTAAAATCACATTCACTAAATGCTGAAATAAAACTATGAATGCATTTATCAACAAGGGGCTTCAAAACCACTTTTTGGTAAATAACTCCAAGTTTTTAAAATGCAAATTTAGTTAGTACTTAATAATGAAATGTTATTCTATGGAACCAGATATATAACCAGAATTCAGGGTCTCTTTCATCCTGGACATGATTAACTTAAAAGCTACAGAACTGAGCTGATATTTGAGAAACATTGATACAGAGAAGTGAAACAATAAGGGGATTTTCATGGTTTATAAAAATAATTGTTCAATATGATACTAATCATTGACTCACAATTGAAATGAAGGAAAACCTGACAGATTATCTATTTTCAAAATGCAGTTTTAATTTATCTTAGCCTAGAAATGATCTTTGTGTGGCAGTATATATAGGTATGGTCTATTTAAAATTTGCTATTTTGAGCAAAAGAAAAATTTGATGTGTTTATAAAACCATGGTGATTAAAATGAGTTTGAATTTTTTCTTTAAAATTTTAGTAGTAAGCCAAGTAAATGATCTTTAACTGAACTCTGACTACTTTAAAAAAAATACAAACTAAAAATTGAACTGTCTATAGCAGTTCAAATGTTATAGCAAAAATGTTCTATGTTTAAGATGAGTTTTTAAAGAAAGTATTCTAAATGAACTCAATATAAAAAATTTTGTTTGGAATATACACATTGAAAATATATAGGATTTTTTCAAAATCCATATTTTAAGCCCCCAATTTTTATTTTATGTCATTTATTTTTACTTATTCTTTTCTGAGTGCCAACAGTTTTCTAGGTATTGTGCATAACATACAGGCTCTGGTCTTGTGGACTATTCCCATATATTTCATGCTGGAGTGAATGAAGTTGTACGTCATTTGTAGAGAAAAATAAATACCCAGGTCCCCAATTCAGACAATGTCTTGCTTTATTGAAAACTATAGTTGCCTGACACCAGTACTTTAGTAGGTGGAGGCAAGAGGATTGCCTGAGCCCAAAGATTTGAGACCAGCCTGGGCGACTTGGCGAGAACTCGTCTCTACAATAAATAAAAAAATTAGCTGGGTGTGGTGGTGTGCCTGTGGTTCCAGCTAGTCTGAAGGCTGAGGCGCAAGTATCACCTGAGCCCAGCAGGTCGAGACTGCGGTGACTGTGAGCCTGGGCAACAGAGTGAGACTCTGACTCAAAAAAAGAAAAGAAAAGAAAACTACAGTCATTCCCATGTATACTAAAATCCATGCATATTCAAGTCCTGTAGTTGGCCCTGCCCTACGGTAGAATGTCTTATCTCTGTTTCTTCTTAACACAACCAGAAAAAAAATGTGTTTACTTTTGAAGGTATCTGATTGGTGATCATATCAAATTGGTTGATCCTGAATTCTGGTTACAAATCTGGTTATAGCATGACCAGGATTATAATACTGTCTAATTTTCACAGGAATGCCTGCTTATAATAGCAACAAACCATATCTCTAAAGAATGAATGTAACAGTCTTGCAGAAAATGGATGAATACCTCTGCTCAATAAAGTTAATATGCACTGCTCACTTTTTAGAAGGAAATACCAAAGTTACATTTTACAACAAGGCAGCGTTTGTAAATTTTGGGTCCATTTGTAACTATGCAAGACCACAGTTTGACTTGTTTCGCAAGCACACTGTAGGAATACCATCTCTTCTATGCATTTTGTAAATAGTAAGCATACTTTTAATTCTGTATTGTCAATGGAAATTCTACTTAAAATTAAAGCTGTCTATTGTTATATTTGTAACCTATAGGATAAGATTCCAGTATTGTATATGAGTTTTAATAAGTGAAAAAAATCAAACCATGAACATTTAGAAATTTTTGCACATTTAAAAACATAAATGTAAAGTGCCTTTTAAACTACTTGAATGTGTCCTTTCTGAACAAAACTATTAAATATAATAAGAAATGAACTGAGAGTGATGGCAGGCACCTATAGTTCCAGCTACCTTGGAGGATCCCTTGAGCCCAGGATTTTGAGTCTGGCCTGGGTAACATAGCAAGACCCCTATGTCTAAAAAAAAATTATAATTTAAGAAATCAATATAATAAAAATTCTACATTCCAAGTTTGTCATGACTCTTATCAGTCATTATTCTGATGTGTTCTTTGTAGCTCCATTTCCAGTAGGCTATAATTTCTTTTTGTAGATTTATTTATGCAGTAAATACTATTACTCACAAATGTCACATTTAAATCTTGTAATTCTTACACAAATATTTAAAGCTTGTATTATGCAATCGCTTTTCCTATTTTAAGCAAACCATTCTGGTACAACATCCATAAAAAAGGATATAAGTCATAGTGTATTGCTTGAAGAATTTTCTCAAAACAAGCATACCTGTGTAGTCTGCACCTAGATCAACAAGCAAATATATCCTGGCACCCCAGAAGCCCTCTCATGTTCCCTCCCAGTAGTGGCCCCCAAGTGTTTTTTGAACTTTGAAAACCTGTTTTATGAACTGCATGTAAATGGAATCAAAGCACTTCTTTCTTCTCCTTTTCTTTTGTGTCTGTCTTCTTTCACTCAACATTATAATCTTGAGAGTCATTCACACTACTGCACATAGCAATTGTTCATTAGTTCTCCCTACTATATAGTATCTCATTGTCTGAATTTACCACCACTTAATTATATCCTACTGTTCACAGATATTTGTGTTGTTTCTGGTTTCTTGGCTTTCATAAATAGTGCTGCTATGAACATTCTTGTGAGGCACACCTGCATGTTTCAGAAATATTTGGGAGATCCTCTATCTGTGCCTTAGACATATGAGATGAGAGACTCAATGAATGTAGGATTATTCTCCATTTGCATCATCAAGGTATCTGAAGAAAGTTTGGTTTTAGTAGAATAGAAAACATTTATCTTGCAAACAATTTAACAATGTAACAGAAGCCATGTGAACTTTAGGTTAATTATGTGAACTTCAGTTCCAGAAGAAAGCCACAGAATGGCAAATAACTGGAAAGAAGCGAGAGAAAATAGCAGTAATGAGGGGAGAAGGAAAGGAAGGTCAAACGGGGAAAAAAAGATAAAAATGTGAGAGAACCACTGATGAAGAGAACAACATTAGGGAAGGAAGATAAACAAGAAAGAGGAAACTAATGAACGAAGAGAAAAGGAAGACTATAAATGAAAGGCAGGGGGACGAAGAGAGAGATCAGGAAGGAGAAAGGAATGGTAGAAAACTTGGAATGGGAGAATAAAATTCGGAGGATTGATTTCAATATAAACACATCCTCTAAGAACTCAGAGAAGTGAGCACATTCCCTGTGCTGCATGCCACATCTCCTAGATTCTTGGTCCTCATCTATCTCTTTTTATCACTGTCTACTGTTCTATAATTCATTTATTTCTGTTTCTCTTCCTGCCTCCTCCCCTATGCTAGAATGTAAGCTCCACCAGGGCAAGGTTTTTTGTCTTGTTCCCAGACGTATCCCACGTACTTAGAAGAGTAAAGAGTACCAGACATACTGTAGGTGTTCAATAAATATTGTTAGATGAATGAATTAAGCTGCAGCCAGTGATGCTAAGGTCAATAGGATTTGAGGATATTGGTCATCAAAGTATATAAGACATTCAGAGTTTCCTGAGCTTTCAGGCCTACTCCTAAAGATTATTACAACAGCTCACTGACTTGCCTGCTTGCCTGGAGATTCACCTGTATGCTAACAGAGAGCTTCAGGGTGTTGGGGCCCTCTTAGCATCTATATCCATTTGGAATTGCTGACCAAGTCAGCCCACTTCATCTTTTTCTTCAGAAACATCTTTGGGCCTAGACATTAGGTGCTGCTTTTTATATAAGATCTTCTAGCTTCAAGGCCATTCCCAATATATGGTTTTAGGTCAAGTGCTCCAGTCTCCAAGTCCCTTCCTTACCTTCCTTAATTTTTTTTTTATTTTGAAACAATTATAGAGTCACAGGAATTAGGAATTTTCAAAACAACAACAACAAAAAAGGCAAGATTCCCATGCACCCTTCACCCAGCCTCCCCCAGTGTTAATAGCTTGCAAAGTTACGGTACAATCTGAAAAAAAACCCAGTGCTGAGTGTGGTGGCTCACACCTATAATCCCAGTACTTTGGGAGACTGAGGCAGGAGGCTTGCTTGAACCCAGATGTTTGAGATCATCCAGGGAGACCTTGTTTCTACAAAAATATAAAAAATAAACCGGTGTGGTGGTATGCACCTGTAGTCCCAGCTACTCAGGAGGCTGAGGTGGAAGGACTGCTTGAGCCCCAGGGGTCGAGGCTGTGGTGAGCCGTGATCATGCTACTGCACTTTAGCCTGGGCAACAGAGTGAGGCCTTAACTCAAAAACAAACAAACAAACAAAAAAACAAAAAATAGAAAACTGACACTGGTATAAACCATAGACCTTATTCATATTTCACCAGTTACACAAGCACTCATTTGTGTGTGTGTGTGCGTGCGTGCATGCATGTGTGTGTGGGGGGGGTTAGGTTAGCTCTATGCAAATTTGTCTAGTGTTTAGATATTGCATAAACACCACCACAATCAAGAAGCTCAACTATACCATCAGCACAAGACTCCTTGTGAAGGACATTTTTAACATGCTCTCCAAGTGCAAGTATACCTCTCCTCCTCGCACCATCCCAGGATGTGTGGCTGAACAAAGACATTCTGAATCGGAGGAGTGCCTGAGGTATTGCACTTCCTATGGCCAGGGAAAGTCGAACACTTAATATTCAATTGCAGATTTTATTTGCAATGACTCCCACTGAGCTTCCAATGAGAATATCCTTTTCCTCTGTAACTTCATTGTTATCCACAACAATCCCAGTCATGGAGGAGCTCCAGGTGACACAGGAAGAGCATCTAAAGATTATCCTTTAGATATGAAAGGATGTTACAAGTCCTTGGCCAACCAATGCTTCAAGTAGGGGGAGACTCTTTGGAAGAAAGACCAAGTATAACTTTCTTCTAGTTTCTGTTAACTAGTGACACAGCCCCAGTACTTGAGGACAGTTCTTATCTCTGCATGTTGTTGATCCAAGTCGTCAAGCTTACCCTCTCCAGTTGGATTTACCTCCTGACTCATCAATTTGTGGTAAACCAGCACAGCAGGATCCTTTAACCCATTCCCTCAAGCCTATACTATATACAACAAAAAGAAAGAAGCCTGGACATCTTTTTATACTCTGACCTGGAATTATTTGGGTGAGTAGGAGAGGTCTAGACCATTAGAACACACATGGCCTTTCTCCAGTAAGTTCCCAATAAAGTGGGCAGGGGAAGGAAGTGGTGAGAAATGAGGTTGGAAGGTGGACGGGGTCAGATAATGAGGAGCCTCGTATACTATGTTAAGGAGCTTGGGCTTTATCCTCTAGTCTGGTAAGAGATAAAGGCAAAATGGCTGGGTTACATTACCTAGCTAATCCAATCAGCTGATCTGAGTATCTAGAAATAAATTCAGAAGGTGAAATTAAAGTAGAGATGAATGAGGCTTTTGTTTTTTGGTTTTCAAGGGGAGACTAAGAGATGAAAGCAGACATATTGGTTTTTGTGATTTAGAAATAAAAGGCTTATTGCATGGATGTGATTTTCATTTTCATAGTTTATTCTTTCTAAGATAATTTTAGGATTCTATTATTTATAATTATATGAGGCATTACTTTTGTGAGTAGAAAAATAAATAGGTACTGTTTTAAAACATATGAAGGCAGATGCAGATATTGACTTGAGACAGTGAAGCTAATATTTCCTTATAAATATATTGCTGTTTCTATGTGGAAGTCACTGTCTTTTTCTGCTTTTACTTGTTTGTAATAAAGGAAATTTTGGCCCCTAAAACAAAGGAAGAAGTGATTGCTTGACATTTCTGTTTAAGCCAGTTCCTAAATGTCTGTTACAAAATACAAGCTCTGGCAAATGAGTGCTCTGTGCTTACTGCTACCTTCTGTCAAAGAATTAAAGGGCTTGAGCCTTTTAGGGAGTGATGCTCCAGTCTTCTTCTGCTTCAGTATCTCTTTTCCATATTGGGTG